TCTAATAAAAACACAGTTTATATGGAAATACAATTACTGGTTTATAGAATACTTGTCGAAACGTCGTGCTATGCCTATAAACCAGTGATTGTATTCCATATAAACTGTGTTGTGTTTTTAATGTGTTCAATCGCTAAATGCCACTCAAGGATTATAGTCTCTCTAATATTGGACAGAAATAACTTACCGGCCATAACTGCTACGAAAACAATTTGTAAAAACATCGTTGCACACGAAGTTATTGCTGGACAGTGTATGTCTTCTCTGGAACGGATTTACAAGCCTAATGGTCAAAAATCCCCGCATGTCCGATTTTTATACAAGAATGATTTAGCATACATGTATTTGTCTCTCAAAGAGACATCTCACTGACACTGAAAATGAGAAATATTTACCCTACAAAATTGCATTTTAAATGTAATTAATGTCATGCATCACATTCAAAATAAATCTAACGCTACTAAACGAATTATCGAACTAGTCACAATTACAACGAATATTGAATGATTGTTGCCGCTACGCTTTTCAAAATCAATATTAAATTTGAATAATTCATAAATGGAATCTGACAACGTCTATTTCTCATCAATTTCTCTTTAAATTGTCGATTTTCGAACGCATTTATTAGGCGACAATACATTAACGAAGCATATTAATTACAAATTAATATAGGAAACTTTGAGCGTAAAATCTCTTTAAGTTGTTTACCTTTATTATATCCAAACCCCTCCTTCCAGTACACAGGTATATGTATGTAGGCTTTTATCATCGAATTCATCACCATGACTGCACAATAACAAACGCAATTTTATTATAATTATACCAGAAATTTATATGGTTAAATTCGTTGCCATTGGTGTCGGAATATGAAGTGAGTGTGTGTGTGTGTGTGGCGGGGGGGGGGGGTGCAAAAGTAATTAAATACAATTACTTTCAGTGTTAAGATTACTATTCCATCACTTAATTGGGTTTGCGTCTCATATACATTATATACTTATTTGATGCTAATAGTAGAAAAGGTGTGAGAGAGAGAAATAGGGTTTAACGTCCACTCGGCACAATCTAGGTCATTTCGGGACTAACATATGGTTTAATTTTATTTCAATAATTCGCTTGAGCGTAGGGGTCTTTAGCAGTGGGAGGAAACCGGAGAACCCGGAGAAAACCCACGAGGTTGGACAGGCGACCCTACTCCTTGTCACGTACAACCAGTAGGAAAGGAAATATCACAATAAAATGTAAATGAAGTTCATTAAAATGTTTTGGAATGTAATCAATAACATTACATTTTTATTACTGATTATACTCATGAACCCTTCCATAGCTCGTTACATGACCATTACTTCAGACCGTGTGATGATTACATTCCATTACAATTATAATGGAGTCTAATGTCTCGTCATCAGGATACTTTCAGGATATTTTCATTTTGAAACTAACATATGGATCGTGTGTGAAATGAGAAACCTTTATCTAAAGTTGAAATTTGTTGATTAATAATATGGACAATAGCGTAACCGATGTCCTCACTCTGATACATAATATGATAAATCGGTCATATTAATTATTAAGCTATCACGACACTGTTACCATCGATAATATTATTCATTAAAGCTATCACGTTTCTTCAGCCAACTGCCTATGCCACCATTTCCGTTATTATTTGTTATGCGTTGTATGGACTCAGAGAGGCTTGCAGAGAAATTAGGGGCAGAGAGAGCGATGAGCCCCATCGCTGTTAACTATGATGTACAAGCTGGCTGCCCCACTTATCAATCTCAATACAAACTTTATTCATCTGTCCTCCGTTTTCACATCGGAGATTTTACAATGATTTACACCATGGAGTATCGGCGATTTTACAATGATGTACGCCATGGAGTATCGGCGATTTTACAATGGTGTACGCCATGGAGTATCGTCGATTTTACAATGGTGTAAGCCATTGAGTAACGGCGATTTTACAATGATGTACGCCATGGAGTATCTGTGATTTTACAATGATGTACGCCATGGAGTATCGGCGATTTTACAATGGTATACGCCATGGAGTATCGGCGATGAGTTTTCAGATTATAGCCGATAAATCATTTAGGTAGAAACACCAATTTTCTTTGTTTGTATAGACCCGGCAACCATATATTATTTTATTAATCATTCACAGCATGAACAATCTCTTAATAAACATCAAATAATTAATTTAATTTGAACCTTATACCCCACACAGGGGTCAAGAGCCGAAACAAAAACACTTCATATAGGAATGTTTAATAATTTCACATGGAAAGGTAACTGGACTATAGGTGAAGAAGTCAAGAAAATGTGTATTTTCTAAACACGCTCACAAATAAATGATCTGAATAGGGTTTCACGTTAATGTCTTAGCAATGCTTAATAAAGACCTATTCAGTTGATAATGATCCGAACTCAATGAACCGATAAAGTTGATTTTATTCGATCAATAACAAATACAAGACCTTGAGGAAATAAAAAAACAACACTTAAGAGCGACATGTCCAGTTTAATACAATGATATCCAATGAGAAACCAACTAATTTGCTGGGGAAACCTCAGGTGGCGTTATGAATAGGCAACAATTGTATACTGCGGTCGTTAGGCACAGTTCTGAAGTTGTTGTTCGTGGTTCGAGGTTGTCGTGTCGATTCCTCACAAAAAGTAATGGAATAAACGGTACATTTTATTATTTTAAACCTTCACGACAGCCATGGTGGCTAAGTGGGTACGACGCTGGCTCGCTAGCCTGGAGGTTGCGGGTTCGATCCCGGTTCATCGGGATTTCTCGGGGTGGTTTCCGCCTTGTCAGTGGTGCAGGACGGAGGGCCGAAAAACCGAGGTCGAGGTCCCGTGCACACATTGTCGTGCACATGAAAGATCCCTTGGCAGTTGGAATTCGATATAAAAGTAGCGCATAATTACCATCATAGCCCACTGTATGGCGTACGCCCGTCTTCATTAGCCCGGTCGGAGCAGAACAGTGGGAATTTAAACCCCATTTCATTTCATTTAAAAATGCACTTACCAGTAAGAGACTTTTAGAAGTGAGAAGAAACTTAAGTAGTCAGAAATAGCCAAATAAGTTAGGCTTGCGACCATACTTCTCGACCCGTACAAAGCTAGGATAAATTCTTTGACTTGCATATGATCTACAATGTACGCATTAAATCACTCGGGCACCCAACTCGCCACCACACGAAAACTACAATGGCAAAAAAATGCCTATATAAAAAATAGTATAAAAGTTGGCCGAAACATGTTTAAATTACTTTACATTCGAGTCCAGTGTATATGTTTACAATCTTCACTGTTTCTAAAGAATGTACATGTATAATAGCGAGTCCAAATTAATACGACAAAAACATATTTATTGTCTTGATCTATTCCTACATATATCCGCCCTAGTTATTGATAGTTACAATAGACTTAAACACTATAGTTGAACTCACCAGGACCTTGGACATAGAAATGCTTCAAATCAAAAAGAAAAGAAGGGCGAGGCCTTGGGTTTAACATCTCATTAACGCAACACTTTTTTCGTTTTGTTATATTCGTATGGTAATATTCGCATTTTTAGAGTTATCGCGCAATGAGAAAGTGGGAATCTTGTCCACACAGGTGCGATTATACCTATCCGCCTTCCTTTGGATAAGACGAACAATTGAGGTAGTATGTGAAAACAGACATTTATATGAAGCTCAATGCCTACCAGAACAATCATATTTAATGTCCTTTGTTACCTAAGTGAACGGGACCGTGTCATGTTTGACCAAGGTGGATCCATATATTAAGATACATTTACTGATTTCATATTGTTTATGTCGGACAATGCCAGTGTTTTTGCCTTGTCCGGTTTCAGGGTGTTATGCTTGTTATTATATATGGCGCGGTCCCCTGTTCTCGCCATTAGATCCACCTTATAAGCATCAATTTTAGCGTCGTTTTCCGGTATTAGAGTTTCACTGTATTGCATTCTTATGGTACAATTGCAAGTCACGCTTGCATACCACTGTGTAAATCTAGAGAGAACATCAAGGCTACGATAAATAAAGAACAACAGGAAACAACAAATATAAATCAATAATAGAAAAAGAACAATATAGTATCAATACTTTTTATTATAGTTTGTACTCTGTATATATATTGACGTGAATTGTTTGATATTGTTTGGACAATACCCGACATTCTATACAATAACAGGAGTCTAGTTTTAGATTATAAGGTCTGTTATTATGTCAAGTGCCGTGGTTTCGATTTTCCGCTTGTACGTGACAAGGAGAAGGGTCGGATGACCAACCCCGTGGGTATTCTCCCTAAGTGCAAGCGAATTATTGAATTGAATCACGAGTACACGTTACTCTCTCTCCCTCTCTCTCGCTTTTTCTTTCTCGTGTACAAAAACAAGTTTATTCGAGGTGTCACAAGACGGAACATTGGACAGTTTGTATATTGTGTGTGATCGCCAAACTTGTGGCTTATGTTGTCGCCTAGTGATCATATCAAACGTGTCAAATATCCGCGGCCAGGAAGATGTTTCAATGTCGGCGACAACAATCGTCTACGTTGTTGCGTATTGTGCGCTATGCGTTAGACGGCTTAAGATGGTGGTACAAAATAAATAAAAATCTGTATAAATCACACAAAATGGGAGATGTCCTCGACGTTTTGTCGGTTATATGTGAGGTATTGGCAAATACTCCATCGACAACAAACCATCGGGATTTATGAACTATACGTCCAAACCCAAGTTGGCGAAGGCTACTATGTTTCGTTTTATATCAACCAATCATTGTTTGTTAAGACTTTGTTTCAGATATGCTTATCATAAATATCACTATACCCCCTCCCACAGTTCATTCGAGGATTTTTAGGTAATTATACAACTCAATATGTATACAAGACCCGTGGCGTATGCAATAGGTAGACATTAGGATTATATTTACAATGCTGCTCGTCTGTTTTAAACTATTAATATAACAAATGTGAGGGTGTAAAAATAACAGTATTTAATATTCTATAAACCATTGATTACAAGCTTAATATGTAATTTAAGACAATACGCGAGGGTGTAAAAATAACAGTATTCAATATTCTATAAACCATTGATACAAGCTTAAAACGAAATTAAATACAGCATGTGAGGGTGTAACAATAACAGTATTCATACTCTATAAACCATTGATTACAAGCTTAAAATGTAATTAAATACAACACGTGAGGGTCTAGAAATTTGTCATTATAATAAGTATCATATTCCTGAAGCGATAGCCCGAGAAATCTCTCCCTGGCCATTGCTAGATTTACTTCTGATACTTGAGCTTTTGCGGGAGTGTGTCTGTGCTTCCAGTTCAATCAAATCTCTCCTAAGTACAGCAACATGACAGCCGTTCGTTTAATCCAATGTCTTTCCTCAAACTTTGGACAGTGATTTAAGGTATTAAAAACGGTGAAAGTATCGTTCGTCTCCAAACATTACTGTTTGTCTTAAAACAGTATTGTTTACATTGTAGCCGTTTTGGTAGCTTCGTTTGTCACTCAATTAGTTTTTCTGAAATATTCTACTATGCTCTAGTTAATTGGGCGTAATAAATTTTGTGAGTCATGACGTAACGTTATGTAAACATCGTTGGAGCTCTGTTTAAACCCAAATGATATTGTTACGGTTAAGGCATTGGCTGTTAATCGGACTATTTACCGGTCATAATTTGGAACAGAAATTTGCTTTCATTACAGCAGTGTTGAGTGGGAATAGGTCTAATCAATCGAAACAATGTGAGGAGTAGGAATAAGTATGGACCATCTATGCCGCAAGTTCCCAGAAGTTCTTTGCTTGATAAAGACGAGATAACACTCGTTTAAACGTCGCCAGAAATAAACTTCCAATGTCAACAAAAATATAGTAGCATATATATTATCTATGTGCTAGTACATAGTTATAGATTTGACGATTAAATATGAATAACTAGTATTAGTAATTGTTATAACCATATATTATTTGTCATAAATGGTATAAATAGTTGTTATATATTACTTGTCATAAGTGGTATAAATAGTTGTTATAATATATTACTTGTCATAAATGGTATAAATAGTTGTTATATATTACTTTAATTGTCATAAATGGTATAAATAGTTGTTATATATTACTTTAATTGTCATAAATGGTATAAATAGTTGTTATAACCATATATTACTTGTCATAAATGGTATAAATATTTGTTATAATAACCATATATTACTTGTCATAAGTGAACTTAATCTACAAATATTATGCATGGTTTAGAGATTTCAAATGAATGGAAAAACGTAATGATGCACAACGATAAGGTTCCATTTTTTATTCCAATAAAATTATATAAGCTTAATTCCTGTTTGTATAAAACATGAACATGTAAATGATTCTTAATAAATCACATTTGGTTCTATCTGATTCTGTATCAATGACTAATTGATCCGAACTGATTCTGAATAAAGCATATCGGTGACTTGTTTTGTCCGAATTTATTCTGAATGAAACATATCGGTGACTAGCTGTTTGATAAATTAAAATACAAATTAATGGTCAACATATAAAAGAAAGGACAATTAGGACTATATAGATTTAAACGAAAACTAAGTACACATTCGGCAACGAAATCAAATCAGACTATTTATTTTCTCGCTTCCGCGATAATGTCTGATTTTCGTGGTAAAAACGTCATGGAACCATCTGGTGTCAAATCTACGGTCTTTCCTTCTGGACATCTAAACGTAAAATTCCTCAACAGAATAGCTAACATTAAATGCATCTCGGGTCTAGCAATAGTTTCACCTAAACAATTTCTACGTCCAGCAGAAAAGGGCAACCATGACATGGACTTTGGTGCCAATTTACCATCGGAATCCAGTAGTCGTTCAGGCCTGAATATTTCCGGATCTTTCCAATTCTCCGGATCGTGGTGAAGTGCCCAGTGATTTATCATGACCATTGTTCCCTTAGGGATTTCATATTCACCTGTAGATAAAGATAAAGGAAAATCATAAGACCGAACCTTACCGAATTTGCGAAGCAAAAATGTTGTTTTAAAATAAGCAATTTGTGTTGCTTTGGTTCATATTTTCGTGTTGTGTTGTAAGCCCTATCATTGCTGAACAAGCTATTAAGTCGTATATCATGGACACATCATGCTAAAATGACACATAAACGATTACAACCAGCCTTAATCTGTAGTTACTATGTCTAGATAACCATTTTTGTCAACCGTTCATTTACAACTCTAGACCTAATGAACAATCCTGGTGAATTTGAAAACAAACTACAATAAACTGTATCTCAGTCATCGTACGCCCCCCCCCCCATCTCTCTCTCTCTCTCTCTCTCTCTCTAGCTCTCTCTCCAGAAATTAAGAACGCTCTTACCGATCGTCGTATCACATCGGGTAGCATGTGGTAATCCCAAAGGAGCTACTGGACACAATCTCATACTTTCATGTAAAACAGCTTCAGTATATGGCAACCTCTCTCTGTCAATTAAAGTTGGGGCTTGTCCAGCATCTAACAAATAGTTAATATTGAGCTTAATTATTCCCGTAGTGTATTTTACCATGACTTTCTTCTTCTCACAAACATGGCCAATGTATGTATAAACGTAAACTGTTTCGGGCATAATATCGGGGTTAGGTTGAAAAGTAGTTAGTAAGTATAGCATTATGTAATTTTTAAATGACTCAGTTGAATATGGATTTGTAGGCCTGATTTTGGTTTGATTTAATGTGTAAGGGACTCCGGCAAAAAGGCACATTTTCCCGAAAAAAAACGGCCCACTCCAGAAACAAATCGACCCATTTATTTATCTGGACAAAGTGGGGGGGGGGGGGGGTGCATAACACCCGTTACTTTTGTAACTAAATTGTACAAGTGTTTAAGTTTATGTTATAGTTCCGTATTGGTCGCAAACCTTCTATTTATTAAAAGAAACAACTATGGGCAAATTTAACCAACACTGCATATACCTATCACCGTCAAACCTGATTGGAAATGTGTTTGTCCAGAGGCGTAAAGAGAATAATAATTACATGCCTTGTTTGATGATGAAGTCTTTCATTTTATTATATTGTTTCTGTTCATAGATCAGTATAAAGGTTTTGTTTATAAAGAAAACTCACCGAGTACTTGGTCTAATTCTGCTTGAACTTTTTTCTGTATTTCCGGATGTTGTATTAATAATAGAATAGTCCAGTTAATAGTTTGTCGAGTTGTATCAATCCCAGCTACAAAAAAAGAGAGATATGTAACAGTTAATAGTTTGTCGAGTTGTGTCAATTCCAGCTATAAAAGAAAAGATATATAACAATTATTCTATATTGTGATTTCATCGTTATTATATAGTCAATATTTCGATGCTCTTTCATTCCGATAAATGAGATGACACGTTGATTATAACGATATAAATACTATCCAGTATAGTTTAATTATAACGATACTGTAATTATAACGATACTGTAATTATAACGATACTGTAATTCAGAAAAATGGGTTTGAATTGAACAATGTATCTTACAATAATATCATTAGTATAAATGAGCTACAACGTGTCATCCAATCGGTAATTGTCAAAGTGGCGTGGTTTCGATTCCCCACTTGTACGTGACAAGGAGTAGGGTCGCCTGTCCAACCTCGTGGGTTGTCTCCGCGTCCCCTGGTTTCCTCCCATTGCTAAAGACCCCTACGCACAAGCGCAATAATGAAATAAAATTGAACTATATGTTAGTCCCGAAATGAAATAGTGTGTATAGAGTGGACGTTGAACCCCCTCTCTCTCTCTCTCTCTCTCTCTCTCTCTGAAAGACATTGATATAAAATTAATAACATTTATTTTCTTGTTGAAAGTTATGACTTACCCGAGAATATATCCGAGCATGTTTGTACCAAGTGTTCATCTGTTATTACATTTTCTATTTCCGGATCTTCTTGTATGGCTTGTCTTCTGGCATGTATCAAATAATCCGTGAAATCTTTCATATTATCTAAATAATATAAATAGATAAAAATATAACCCGTGAAATCTTTCATATATCCCAAATAATATAAATAGATAAAAATATCATGTAATCCCCAAATTGTGTCAAATAATCCGTGAAATCTTTGATATCATCTAAATAGAGAGAGAGAGAGAGAAATGGGGTTTAACGTCCACTCGACACAAACTAGGTCATTTCGGGACTAACATATGGTTTAATTTTATTTACATAATTCGCTTGCCCGTAGGGGTCTTTAGCTGTGGGAGGAAACCGGAGGAGACGGAGAAAACCCACGAGGTTGGACAGGCGACCCTACTCCTTGCCACGTACAACCGGGGATTCGAAACCACGCCAGTCGACTCAATGACAGACTTTATGATACAGCGCGCGCACGCTGACCATTCAGCAATCCAACCCCCCATCATCTAAATAACATATATAGATATAAATATCCTATAATCCAGAAGTTGTTTCAAATAATCCGTGAAATCTTTTTATATTTTCTGAATAACACAAATATATAAAATATCATATAATTCACAAGTTGTTTAGTTTGAAATAATGCGTGAAATCTTTCATATAATCTAAACAGCACAAATATATTAAAATATCATTCTATCACAGAGCTTTTTATACTACAATATTTAGGTAATCCATGCTTCCAGGGACGCAGCAGGAGGCATTTGGTGCTCCCCCGGTCTATTAATTAAGTCTAAATCGTAAAAACATTCGGCTGTGGGTATCATTTACTTTTATAATAGAATCTTTTAGAATATACACGATTCGGTTCTTACCCTCTGAAAAATTATCTTTGTGGGCGGCATACTCATCTCTTATGAAATTCAAAAATATATCAAAGGTTCCCATGATGCGTTTGAATTTAGCTGTAGGAAATCGGCGAAGTGGTGGAATGATGTCTTCCCAGAATCCATTTCCGATATCGTTGTTGGTTGACTCGAAGACATGTAGCAATTCTAAAAATTGCTTGTCATTAATATCAAAGCTGAAATAAGACAAAAATAAACAGAAACATGATCACAAGAAGATGGTTGGTTAAATACTAAACTTACGCTGTCTCTCTATAATTCGTTCCGCTTGAGTACAGATGCTAAGCTAGTTGACCGACATTTTAATTCCGAAATCGGCGCCATTAGTCGAAAACACTACGTGTGATTTTAGAATTCTGAAAAGTATTTAATCCGCTTCCGGGGTCGAACAGGGGTCACAACGACTTACCTTTTGTTAAAACAAACACCATGAAGTAAATTACACACCAACAATCCAATATATTTCTGTATATCAATAGGTTTACCTTCTTCTTCTTTTAATCTTCTCATAACTTTAGATGTTGAATCAAATACTTTCTCTTCTAGTTTACTACCATATAAATATTGTCTGAAATATACAATTCATAAAATCAACAACTATCACTTGAATCAACATATAAATATTGTCTGAAATATACAATCTAGAAAATTAACAACTATTACTTGAGTCATGGATGGATAGATATAAACTATTAGGTAGGTTGTAACCCAAGGAAAACAAATACATGTGGGTAATTCTGGTGCCCATGACATTCAAACTTTTAATCATTAATACATTTAAATACAAAACACATTATTACCTCAGACCTTGAAGAGAAATTTTACGGAGATGCTTCCAGGCAGGAGAAACATCGGCCATGGCTATATCCTTATAACCGGAAGTAAAGGTCTCAACTGAAATAAGTTAAATCATAATACATTATCCAATATATTACTACATTAAATAGTTAAGGCTCAGAGGCATGGTACCGGGAGGTCGGGAGGTCTGGATGGCATAGCCACACTCAATTCATGTAGGACATGCGCACTGCTGATTGGAGCGGTATTTTCATAGTTGGGATTCTTTGGGACTAATACATGGATCAATTTTATTTCAACAATTCGCTTGCGCGTAGGGGTCTTTAGCAGTGGGAGGAAACCGGACATTGTGAGAAAGAGAGAAATGGGGTTTAACGTCCACTCGACACAAACTAGGTCATTTCGGGACTAACATATGGTTTAATTTTATTTCAATAATTCGCTTGCATGTAGGGGTCTTTAGCAGTGGAAGGAAAACGGAGGACCCGGAGAAAACCCACGAGGCTGGACAGGCGACCCTACTCCTTCTCACGTACAACCGGGGATTCGAAACCACGCGAGTTGACTCAATGACAGGCGTTATGATACAGCGCGCACATGCTAACCATTCGGCCATCCACCCCCCTACCGGATATTGTAGACGAATAAGAGCGACATTATAATGTGAGTTATCCAAAGCTATATATAGTTGAATACAGATGGCCCGGACAAGATGTGTTGGTATTACTCTATTAATAAATATTGCCATCTTCTTTGTTGCGTTATTTTACATGCTCAATACATTCGTTCGTTATGTGAACATACGATGAAAGAGACGAATTCGCTGTGGAATGACCTTCGAACACAATTTTCCGCTTCCAAAATAGTAATCTTACCAGAAAAAGTTTTAAATCTGCCGGCATAATCTGCTCCTTTCTTTACCAATGCTTCATTTACAGTTTCAGCATCGTTTAAGATAATACATCTAATTGGTCCTATAACGAAATTATTATTATTATTATTACTATTATTACAAAAACGTGAAAAACGTTATACACTGATTGGAATATCCAGTCTTTTAAAGCGATAAAATTAATGGGATTTAAAAGGGAGATAATTGGAAGCTGGTCTGATAAAAACAAAAATAACTTTATATGAACTCAGTTATAAGGGGCGGGGGGGAGAAATGGGATTTAATGTCCACTCGACACAAACTAGGTCATTCCGGGACTAACATACGGTTCAATTATATTTCAATAATTCGCTTGTGCGTAGGGGGTTTTTAGCAATCGGAGGAAACCGAAGGATCCGGAGAAAACCCACGAGGTGAAACGGGCAACCTACTCCTTGCCACGTTCAAGGGGGAAATCGAAACCACGTCTTGGCTAATTGATAGACCAGAATTTGAATAACCTATTTAGAGAATAGGTTGTCACATACACCCGGGGAATCGAAACCACGACAATTGACTCAATGACAGAACACGCACGCGTTAACCATTCGCCCCCACCCCACCCCACCCCCAACTTCAGTTATAAGGACACAATGGGAAAATGTATTCGGTTTGAGTTGAACTATATTCGGTTTGAGTTCGTAGAATTTAGGTTTACTATACCCAATCAAACCCCGGTTTGCTGGATCTTTGTTTGTGTTCTACAGCAAATACTACTGGTTGTTTTAAATTCAGATTTAGAACTGATTGTTAAAATAATTTACCCATATAAATTGTGATTGCTGGTCCATATTTCTTTCTCCAGCCCAATAATTGTCTATATAAAGGTGTGCTGGAATTCATTGCTGGAAAAAATAAATTGAAACATCCATCAAGATGAGGAAACAAACCGGGATTTCAAACATCTACTGATTGATGGTGGGTAAAGGTGTGGCTGCCTGAAATTGAGTGGGTGTGATGGAGTAAAGGCCTGGTCCCAGTGGCCGATGGACACAAAACGTATGCAAAAAGGACACAGCGGACGAGCAAACTTTCGGGGTGGCTCCATCCGTTTTCATCCGCTCCAGAAATGGACAAAATTGACGAAAATTTGCGAAAACAGAACGGGAAAGAACGAACGTTGGAAGTATGTAGCGGGGATGTTAAATGGATGTTCATCGGAAGCCTAGCGAATGAAAGCGGATGGAAGTGGATGACAGCTCCGACAAACTCCAGACATCCTTCAATATACCAGATACATCCCAGATACAAACTCTTTGTCCCTTTTGAAAACTTTATATACGAGATGCATACGCTTACATCCTTTCTATTTCCGTGCTACTAACGATGTATAGACGTTCCATGTACCTTATCTTTCCTCCCTCTTTCCGTTTTCAGCTGGAGCGGATGTGAGTTGCGAGGATGCCCAGAGGATGCAGAGAGGATACAGTGGACGTTTAACGGATGATAACAGACATGGAACGTTTGGTGCTCGTATATGTCGCGCATTTACATCGTACACGGCAGAAAGTTCATCCGTTATAAACGTTTTGTGCAGCTCAAAACTTTTTGCGCGGATGAAATCAAAGTGAACGGATGCTCGATGGATAGAGCGTATGAAACACGTATGCAATGAGTACACAACGGATGCATGGCGTTTTCAAACGGAGGGCACGTTTTTCCCCCGTTTTACATCCTCTTTGCATCCGTAAGTGCAGTGGGGCCGGGCCTTAAAGCAATAACTCGTGAACTCGTGTTTCAACACTAGGCCATTTAGCTGTGGGTGGGACATAAAGCAAGAAGAATAAATATTTAGGTAACGCTTGCAGTTACTGTTGGAGCATTTCTTGTCAAGCATGTATATTTACATTATCTAAATATATACTCACCAAAGATGTGCCCTAACAATGGAGGGCTCCATGGTCCTGGTGGTAATTTGTATTTTTTCTTTCCAAATGTATAATATGTAACCACACCAACTGTTAATCCTAGCACCAATGCTTGAGTTGTTAAAGACAAGGGGATCTGTGTCAAATACGATTCCAACATCTTGAGAACCTCTTTATGCTACTAAATATTTTGATAGCCAAGATACTGCAATTAGATTAAAAGCACGCAGTATTATCTAAGCTGCTCCATAAATTGTAACGTAATACTTTTGGGGGGAATTTTTGAGCTACCTGGTACTTTTGGGGGAAATTTTTCAGCTTACTTCCAACACATTACCCCAAAGCTGTCGTGAAAACGATAACCTAAAGGCTGTCGTGAAAACAGTCTATAAATGTTTGATCGTGCATAATTATATAAATTCAAAGTCAATGATATTAGAATTTTATTTCACATGATGAATCAATTCTTATATCTTGTAAGATCCAGTATTACGTATAATCCAATGTCCATGTGCCTTTAGAATCTGGGTTCGGATCTTGGTTTTTCATTGAGTCACAAATATAACATATTCTAAGGACGACCTTGGTCCTTTATTTCTAACATCGGACTGGTCGATCTCAGTACAATATTATATATCTAATATCTTCTAAGTTTAAACTTTATAGTCGGGGGTAAATTGTAAAATATGTGGCAAGTTTGAATTTCTTGACATATCTAGTCTTTGGTTGAGTAAAATGTAATGATTTCGCTCTTGGGTTTTTTCGTGACAAGGTTAACCTATCTGATCCATGCTTGCGATCTGAATTCTCCGCTGCTAAAGACCTATTTGAGTATGCGAAATAAATACGATTAACATTATGTTTGTCCCAATATGACCTAGTTTTATAACGATAATATTATTTTGAGATATGCAAATTACTCTTTGGGGTAGGAGCGAATAAATGAATATGTACAATTCAAGCTTTATCTTTTGAGGATGTCAAACGTGACATGTATTTGATTGGCTGTATTTTAAACGGAAATCATTCAAAACCGTCAAGGGAATTGGCCGATCCATAAAATATTTATAACCATATATTCACTACCATAGCCAAAAGCAAACAGCTGACTGGTTGGATTATTGGTGTCACAAGCGATTACCGGGTTAAATCATCTCACCCTTGACCCTTGATAGTCTCGATACGTCGAACGTTCCCAAACTGTGTGTTCAGCCCACTTTATTCAGTCCCAAAACAGCATATTTATTTCTGGGATTTTAACGACCACTCGCAGACGGTCATACTCCTTGTCAGGTACAAGTGGGTAATCGAAACACGTCACTTGACTCAAAGATAGACCTTATGATCTAAAGCGCACGTTAGAATACTAGACCACCCAAACCAACTCCCCTCACTACCAGTTTGCTACACCAATTGGTAGGCAAACAAGCAGCAAAACAATTATATCACTAAATCATTAAATAGGCCTATACATGTACTTAAATTTTAACCTCTAGCGTGTACAAGGTGTCATATAAAGACATAGTGGCAATAATTGTCAGAAACAGTTAAACGTTGCACACACATCCTTGCGTCTTGGTCTCGATAGGATACATGTAAAAAAAATGCGTGTAAATTTCAAGTCAAACGGATTATTCGCTTAGACAACAAGTATCGAAAATATTTGAAAGGGGTTTTCCGTCATGTACATACAAAATGTATATCTGTCTACCAAAGCCACATCTTCCCGGAACACGGCGTCATATGAATACGGTCACAAAAACAGAACCGAATAGACGTGATGAAATGATTCGTATAACAACTTTAACCTTTATCTAAAAAAAATGATATACTGCGAGTTATCCATGGAGAAATTGATATACTGTGGGTTATTCATCGAGAAATTGATATATTGTGAGTTATTCACAATGCGTAAATTATGCACATTAGGTATACAATAGGTACATGCGTGCTTTCACAATATTTGTATGTTATAAAATGAAATGAAATTTGGTTTAGCGTCCTACTGTTCTACACCCAATGGGCTAATGAAGACGGGCATGCGCCCAGTGGCGGCGCCAGAGGGGGGCATGCCCCCCCCCCATTAATCTGGTCTGCCCTGTGTTTGCCCCCCCCCCACCAATAATTTTAGAAAATAAAAAAAAGTATTTGTGATACGTTTCGGTAATCAATACCTTCTACGGTGAATAAATCCCACATCCCCACTCAGTCATAAACTTGCATATTGTAGAGCATTTCCGACAGCCTATTTTTCAAAATATTCTTGGCGAGGTCCCCAATGGACTCGCTACTTTGGCGCTCACAAGGGGAATTCGTTGAGGTTCGCAAGTCCGTTCGTTTGACATTTTGTTCTCTAGTCAGATAAACTAGTGATCAGGCGACGGACGGTATCTGGTCAGATCTATTTTTTTCGACGATCGGTGCCTGACAGCAAAACAGCATTTCCGGCAGTCTATTTTTCAAAATTTTCTGGGGGAGGACTTGAGTGGGCTTCGGCGTGATTCGCAAGTCCGTTCGTTTGACACTTTACCTCATCGATCAATGCCTGAAACACTGCCAGGCTGCATTTCCGGCAACCTGTTTTTCAAAATTTTCTGGGGGAGGCCCCCTACCCCTAGTTAAAGCTCGTACCTTTGCCCCAGCTTTGCCCCTCCAATCACCGACGGCTGGCGCCGCCACTGCATGCGCCATACAGTGTGTTATGGGTGAATAAACACGTTCAGTGCGTTCTACACAAGTTTCAAACACGTTCAGTAAGTTCTAAGGACGTCAGAAGTACGTTGCCTATAGGTTAGAAATAGGTATAACTTACCTGCCGCGTACTTCTAACTGACGCCTAACTTGTGAGCAATACGTCGGCATACGCTGAAAATTTTGTGCATGCACAAAATTTTGGGCCGCATTCGGCGTACAACAATTTATACCATCGTATTTCAACGTGCTCGTAACGTCCTAAAAACGTACCCATAACGTACTCAACGTACACCAGCGTGTTCGCTAAATTACTCATACGTCGGCATACGCTGATGCTATACGTCAATGTGTGACAGCCCCATATAATGACTTGTGGTTCTAGCGAGACTCAGCTTTTATATCTGATCTCACGTGTTTGTCGGAGTACGCCCCAACACGTTATGCATAAGTTAGGCATAAGTTAGACTAAAGTTGTCCATGAGTTCCGCATAAGTCAAGAACGCTAAACATTCGTTGGGCACACGCTGTCATAATATACTTGTATAAGTTATGTTTACATTGGGGATAAGTTATGAATAAGTTACTCATTCGTTAAACATAGGTTATGTATTCGTTCAGCGCGTTAGAAGAACGTTATATATGAGTTGAAAAAAGAGCGTCATCTTGATTTTTAAATTCAGCTTCAGCGTATTCCAGTGTGTTGGAACTGTTATTTCATACGTCGGTAAGCTGTCTAAAACATTATAGTGTGACAACCCATAAACTACAAACTACAAACAAGCGTAGACAAATAATAATCGATGTAAACACATCATATTCTAATGTATTATTTTAGTTTAAACATTACATGTACATAGAAATATACAAACTTACATTGAAAGAGTTCACTCCAAATAGGTCCACCACTGTTAACTAGATTAACATATACTGTGTGTATCTATATATGTTTGTTATGACGAAACATCTAGTGTCCGTGTCCTATATATACTGACTGGTCTATACACTGTAAATTATTTCACCATGTATACGTAATACAACTAACTAACGACAACACTGTCAAGGTCGATTATTTGTCCAATGTGCGTTCATGCAGATCATCTATAATTCAGTTCAGTTACTGTTAAAGTGACATAACACACTTGCTGGCTTGACAGCTCCAGAAAATAAAGGGTTCAAAAATATTTTTAAATCCAAGTCACATTTGAAAAGATTTACTTCAGGCTTTTCAAATCATTTTTAGTTGAATTTTTCCAATTTTTAAAATTAGGTGTCTTAAGATGAAATTTGTATCATCAATTAATTGGAATATTGTAAAATAGTGCAATTTGTTGACCAGAATAAAGATTGGGACATTTTATTCAGTTACAACAAGAGAGGTATTAAGCCTTTAAGCATATGATCCATGAGTAGTATTAATAATTTATGGTCTCTGTATTCGCCGTCTCTTAAAACCAGGTTTGCACGTTTAGTCTACACGTCATTTTAAGCACGTAAACAACGCGTAATTATGTGATATTGCAGCATAATCTATACACAGAAATTACTCATTCAATATTACTGCCATAAAAGGAAAACAACGGAAATAGCCAAATGGGTTTTCCTATGTCAGTTTTTATTTTAAAAAAACAATATTATTCCTCGACATTAATATTCACATAAAATAAAAATGTTTAGTGCAGTGAGGGTATGGAGTGCAAAGGCATCTATATGGCTTTATATCGACAGAAAAAGCAACCGAGAGAGAGAGAGAAAGAGGGGGGAGAGAGAGAGAGGGGGGGGGGTAATGTCTGTGTGTATGCGAAATGATTATGAAAATACGAGTAACATTATTATGTTTGTCCCAATATGAACTTGTTTTATAATGATATTATTATTTTGAGATACACATACTACTTCTTGCTGTAGTAGACAGTTAATAAATATTTACAATTCAAGCTTTTATCTTTTCAGGTTGTCAAACGGGACATATATATTTGAATGGCTGTATTTTAAACGGAAATCATTCAATATTTGGAAGGAATTGGCCGATCTATAAATATCTATAACCAAATCCACTACCATAGCCAAAACCAAAAAGCTGACTGGTTGGATTATTAATGTGACAATCGATTAACGGGTTAAACTATCTCACCCGGCCACGTGACCCTTGATAATCTCGATACGACGAACCTCAGGCAAACTATATAAGGTATAGATACTTACGGGTTTTGACCTATGTATGAATTATAGATCTGCATGAACGCACATTGGACAAATAATCGACTTTGATAGTATATAGACCAGTCAGTATATAGGACGTTGTTTCTATTTATAACAAACATATATATACTATTCAAAAAAAGTAGGGGATATTTGATTTTTAAGTGTTATTAAAGTCACCTAATGAAACTGACGAAGAAACAAATGACAAAATGAAATGAAGTTCACATTCATCGATTTATTCCAAATGATCGTTAGACTAAGTAAGGCACAGACTGACCATTATAAGGGTAAAATGATACCCGGAGTCAAACAGCAAAGTTACCACAGCATCACAACCAAGTCAGTAACGGGTAAATCCTCCTCTGTTTGCCAAACAAGCATTGATCCGACGTGGCATACTCCTAATGGGACGTCTAAGGTCATTTTGGTCCAGATTGTTCCATTCCTGTTGCAACGCAGCAGCAAGTTCTTGGACATTGGCAGGACGTTGTTGACGTTGACGCAACCTCTGTCCAAGCATGTCCCAGACATGCTCGATGGGGGAGAGGTCGGGACTCAGTGCTGGCCAAGGTAATGTGGTGATGTTCTGTTGTTGGAGGTAACCTGTAACGATCCTGGCCCTGTGACATCTTGCGTTGTCATCCTGGAAGATGAAACGGCGGCCATGACGTCGTGCGAACGGCACAACATGGACTGCCAAGATGTTGTCCCGGTAGTACTGGCCTGTAACACGCCCTGCAACAACATGTAAAGCCGTTCTTCCAGCAACAGTGATGCCTCCCCACACCATAACAGAACCACCCCCAAATCGATCATGTCTGATGACGTTAACGTCTTGGAAGCGCTCGTTTCGACGACGCCACACCCTCCTACGTCTGTCCAAAAAATCAACAGTGAACCTTGACTCATCTGAAAACATCACATTGCTCCAGCGTCGATTATCCCAGTGTTGACGATCCCTACACCAACGACGTCTTGCCTGAATGTGATGATCTCTCAAACAAGGGATCACGCGAGGACGTCGGGCGCGAAGGTGACCCCTATGCAGTCGATTCCGAATCGTCTGGCCACTCACTCTCACACCAGTGTCTGTTTGAAGACGAGCGCTGATCTGATTTGCTGTGATGACACGATTTCTCAAGGCCAAGGTACGGATAAATCGATCCTGGGCTTGAGTTGTCGCCCTTGGTCGACCTGAGCGTGGTCTGTCCTGTACAGATTGTGTATCACGGTATCTGGACCATAGCCTGCTTATGACAGACTGAGAAACATTCATCGTCCGCGCCACAACCGCCTGTGTTGTGCCGATCTGTAGCATGCCAAGGGCACGTAACCTTTCATTTTGGGTAAGCCGACGCATATCAAAATTTGTTTTCTGGTCACTAAAACAATTAAACTGATGTTTCCACCCTGGAATTCAATGCCACAATGACTGTAACATTCAAAGTCAGAGTCGTGCAAATCTTGGGTTGGACCCCCATGATGATCCCAAGCATCACCTGCATTCCATGCGGTAGCTGTTGGTGCGTTTGGGCGTCACATGTAACTGGAAATGTTTCTTCTGTTAGGTTCTATAGTGACTTTTTTCGTAGTCATTTGCATATTTTAGTATTATGCCCCCAAAATCAAATATCCCCTACTTTTTTTGAATAGTATATATGTTAGCCTTGTTAACAGTGATCGAGCTATTTGGAGTGAATTGTCAATGTAAGTTGGTATATTTCTAATATGATGTGTTTACATCGACCATATTTGTCTGAACTAGCTTTATTTATATTAAGTTATTTGTACTAAATGCGATTTATGTAATTGCATTCTGCTTCCCCCGGTGCGATTTTCTATGCAATAAAATGTGTATAATTCATCGTATGTTATCTAACTGGACTAACATTTATAAATAGGTATTATATAAGTCATTTTACCATAAAACCGTCGTATTAGTACGCATTCATATGATAAGAGGGTATAACACAGTGACAACATATAATAACCCATTATTGCTTATATCACGAATTCTCTCTTCGGCATTATTTAGGGGCGTACATATTGATTTTGTTTGGGGGTGGGGGTAGGTAGAAAAAATGAGACCTACTGATGCACAGGCCCATCATAGAGTGGCGCAGCCACGAACACAGCTGATGGGAGCTTTATAAGGGGGAGGGGGTCCGGGGGCATGCTCTCCCTGAGAAATGTTTGAATCTAGAGTCCCTGAAATGCCATTTCCTGGACTTTTGTCGAAGATTTTGCCGAATTCTGATCTCAAAACTCTCTGCATTGTGTATACCCCTCTACACTATGCATGCGTCACACTGTCCCAAAATTGACACCAGATAGACACACGATAAAGTAAATGTAAACACATCGGACCATTCGTAAGGGCATCTTAAGCCACCGTATGACCGACAGTGCAGTCTCTCCGTCTCCGGCAACAACTTCGTGAGCGCTGGCAAAAACCCTTGCATGCCGAAAGACGTTGCGAAGGTTCATTTTCGTGTTGAATTGGTGTGTCAATCATACCCTTCATAAGGCCACCGTGAGAGCATCTTGTGAAACCGTGTTATTTTCGTCTTTACTTCGTCTGATCATTGGGCATTTTGCTCCCCATGAAGAAATTACGATTTCAAGAATCTGCCCAATTGTCTTAAGAAGGCAACACGACAACGTGTATGTAAGTAGCGCAAACGTTTCCCATGGAGATAAAAGATAGTTTACAATGTAATGAAATTCCCACATCAGCTAAGTCGCCCGGGCAGTCAACAAGGGTTGTCGCATAATCATTGTTATTTTTTTGACATTTTAATGAAAACAATGACAACACGCTAAAATCTGATTAGGAGTAACAAACCATTACGTTATTATTTTTTTTGTAGAATTTAGTCAGTTTGTGCAGCCAAAACTGTAAATGGTGCAAACATTCTGCCAACGTAGATGTTGTTGACCCCCTTGCGTCTATTTGTTAAATATAAATTCGGTCATCAGTAAGTGTTTTACGGATGAGACAAAAAATAATCCCAGATTGCCCTGCCCATATCTCGGTTATTTCTCAACGGATCTTCTTCGGGTTTTCATTTTTGGATTCTTTGGACGAATCCCATATTGACTCTGACTGACGGTTTTTCGAAATTCGGAACTTCGCTTGATCAATATTATAGCATCAAAGATTTGCGAAAGTTTTCTTCATCATTTTTTCGACATTCAAGATGGCATATGTCCGTCACTATTTGAGGTATCAAGTTGAAACTTGGTAGGAATAAGGAACTCATCGATGCCTTCAAAATGGCATATAAAAAGATATTTTGTTACGACTTCCGGAAATTTCCGGAAATTACCGAGGCCTTCCGATTTTTCCCCGATCATGAATTTTAATAAAATAGACAAAAAATGACATATGGTGGCGTTAGCCCCAGATATTATCTTTCATTTTCAAAGACCTTGTTCCATAACGCTTTTAACCGCTTGGCCGCCATATTTTAATTCCAAATTTCGAAAACTTTTTTTGTATTGAACCTACTCCAAATGGCAAGAATCCTAAGGGAGCCGATTTTTTTAAATTCGATTTTGTTTACTTCCTGTTTCATTAGGACAGCTATTTGACTGATTCGAAATTCGAAACACTGCAATAAAGTAAGTTCATAGCTGTGTTTTTCTTTACTTAGTTCAGCCATTGCGCTATGTGTCTATGACTAGTCTGTGTTGAGAACCACTGGTCTGGAGCGTCCGAAAGCAATTGTGGGCGTATAATATTTTTTTTAACATTTTTTTCGAATGGTAACTCTAGAGTACCGATGATCAGACGAAGTAGACGAAGATGGCACGATTTGACAAGATG